CTTGATAAGCAAAAGGCCCTAGGAAAAAAGGAATTAGGTGACTTTTGTGAACAATTTGGTTTTGAACCAATAAAATCATATTCACATAAAACATACAAGAAGGGAAAGAAATTTGGGGGGCGTAGGACTAAAAAATACGAGAAATATAAGTCTGAGTCTGAACCTAAGAAGCCATACAGAACTTTCAGAAAAAGGAAATACACAGGAGAAACTAGCAAAAAGGCTAGTAAAGGGAAGAAAGGAGCTGTCCCAACATGCTATAAGTGTGGAAAAGTGGGACATTATAAATCTGAGTGCTAAATGAAGGATAAAATCAGTAACCTAAGCATTAGTGAAGACCTTAAGCAACAACTTTGCCAAATAATGCTTAATTCATCTGGCACTTGCGAGTATCACAAGTTGAGGATGCAGCTTAATCCATTTTGGTGGAGCTAAATCTACACAACAAGTGCGCCTGTCAATTTAAAGATCTGAGAATATGTGTCTTAACAAAAGAAGAAAGTCTAATAGTAGACTTAATTGATAAAATAGAGGATCCAGAAAAGAAGAGAAAAGCTTTGGAAAGTTATATCTCGTTAGCTAGAACAGGACCAAATAATCCCCAACCGGCCATAACTAATGTAAGACAACCAGTTGAAAATAACTAGTTGAAAACTATAGTGAACAGGATGAATGATAAAATTCATAAAAAGGAACCTACGCTCAACGACCTTCAGTGCGAAGTCCATGATGTGAAAGAAGAACTTAGAGAGTTAAAAAATAGGGTTAGAGTTTTAGAACTCTATCGTCCTTTTTCAGAAAAAGATACAGAAGAAAACTCTGAGCAATTAGAGTTCGAAAATCTAATGGAGGAATTTCAAGAAAAAATAGAACCTATAACAAGAGAAGCCCTACAGGAAGAACAAGTTAATACTATGAAATTCATTAATAGCATAGATAAGGTGATAGCCCAGAAATGGTATGCAATGATAACTATTGTAATTAATAAAACCTACAAGTTTACTGTTGAAGGACTGATAGACACTGGAGCTGATCTTAATTGTATAAATGAAGGTGTTGTACCAACAAGGTATTTTCAAAAAACTACCCAAGTCCTACACACAGCAGTCAATAGTCAAAGGATGGGGATTCAGTTTAAATTATCTAATGCTGCTCTGCTTAATCAGGGTATTTGCTTTGAAACCCTTTTTGTCTTGGTGAAAGGATTAAACCAGTCCCTGATATTAGGAACCCCTTTCATTAATATGCTTTATCCTTTCTCTGTTTCTGAAGAGGGAATAAGAACTGAGGTAGAGGGTCAACCTATAGTTTTTATATTTTCTCAACCACCCAAGCATAAGTATATTAATGAAATTCAAGAAAAAATAAAGAAGAAAGAGAATTATCTATATCACCTGAAAGAAGAATTGCAGTACAAAAGAATAGAAGAACAACTACAAAACAATAGGGTAAAAGAAAAAATAGAGGAAGTCCAAAAGATGTTGAAAATCAAGTTTGTGCTGAAATAACCAATGCTTTTTGGAATTGGAAAAAACACATAGTAGAATTGCCGTATGAGCCTGATTTTGATGAAAAGAAAATCCCAACCAAAGCTAGGCCAATTCAAATCAATGTGTTTGTGCCTAATAAATCACGGCCATGAGCTGGCCGAAGGAGCCCCCTTTCTCAGCCCTGGCACTTGCTCGTAAAACTGAAATGCAGCGTTTCAACAAGGTGCTTTGCCTTCCTGAAGACAAAAGAAAAATGCCAAGGCATGATCATCTCTTCCTCGAGTGCAGGCCGAGGCCGAGGTCAAGCAAAATCGCGGCTAGAAATATTAAAGTCAGATCATCACGTGATAGCAGGGACCCATGCTTCATTTAATGAAGTAGCGCCTGTTTAATGCAGCAAACCCACTGGCCACAAATAAGCATTTAATGCATGAGGGAAGGTGGGAAGTGACTGAAGTCAGGTTGTGGCGACAGAAGACAAAGTGATTAGACGTAGACATTCTCACAAGAATTCTTGCAGCTTGAGAGATTAGGTCACCAGCTATCAGAGCAATAAATGCGTCTCCATGGCCAGCTGCGCAGAAACCACGATTAGGGCGGCGGCTTAGATTCACTAGGATTTATGGGGTCACACCACCATGCTTCACGATCCCAAATGTTGATTGGACACCCACTTTCGCTAATCAGACTCCATTATGCGTAAATTCAGCCTCGATTACTCATCCAGGAACTCTTCCTATAAATACAAGGCTCGAGCTACATTCAATGGGTTCAAACACCAAACCAAAGCCTCCCACGGGGCAACTTATTTTTTCCTGTAATGCACTTTCAATATCTTTACTTGCTTTCCTAGGAGTAGTGTTAGACTGTAAGGAAAATTCATTCATCAATATATCATACGACCGTCGCTCCCTGAGCGACGCGCCGGAGCACCGCCCAAAACCCACCACCAACACTATCACTCAACAGCCTTGTAGTTCAGGCCGTGAACCTAACAGCCGAGACTAGTTCCTCTCTCGGCTACAATCATTTGATTAGAAGACGAGTTCAAACAGGCGCACCACTGATCGATCCTACACTCATCAACATCTCGACGCACGGTAAACCGTGCTGGCATGCCGGCGCATAACCGCACCGCACCCAAAAGCAGGAAATCGCGTGTCAACGCACATCCCCTCGGCCCGGAACTCTAGGCCGTGAGATTTGCGCGGCATACACTTTTGGCACGCCCGGTGGGACACTTGTCAAACTTATGGTGGAAACTAGGGCACAGGCAAAGCTCAGAAACACAGCAGTCGAAATGAGTTCTGAGACTCCTGAGTCCACCTCACCAATCACAATCACCGAGACCGAACGTACGGTCGGGATCTCGGCCAGCGTTCCAATAACGACGGATCGTACGACCGAGTCCATGCAAGAACATGCAGTAGTGGAGGAGCTGATGTCCAAGCTGGCCTACAGGATAGAAACATCCTTCATGGCCGCAATGGACAGGTTCTGCTCGGAACTGCGAACGCTTTTTCAGGAGAGGATGCCGGTAGCCTCGCCCGCGACACCTCTCAGAGCCGGACCGGGGAGCCAAGAGCGCGAGAGAGTCGAGCCTTATGGCGAAAGCAGCAGCCTCGGCGTATCGGCCCACACCCAAGCGTCAGGCTACGGCCAGCATTCTTTGCCGCCGACAAATAGATGGGGGCAGTCCCAGCCCAAATGGGCGAATCCCGGACCAATCCATCCGGCGAAGACAGCATGCGGCCCACTACAAGCCTTAGCCAAAGCGTTAAGGCGGGGTAGCCCCACGTTGTCTACGATCCAGCATCTCGGCCCAACCCATACTTTGGCCGACCAGGCACAATCCGGCCAGAGCAATGTGACCGAAGCGTTACCACAACAATGCGATCAGAAAGGCTTGGCCGCCGCGCTGCCAGTGAAAAATATACGATCCGGCCATTTCGACGACAATGCAGACCTATCTAGGTTCCCAGTATGATGCCATCCAACAGAACCAGGTGGTTATACCTCGATGGCCAGCGGACCGAGATCATCTCGGCCAAACCCACGGCGTCCCTCTGAAACTACTCGGCTCGGTCAAAATGACCGGGCCCCGTGCTCAAAAGACCTAGCAAGAAAGGCCGCGAAATGATGTGCGACAGGGCAAGCCTTTTCAAAGGTTTCAGATCAAAGACATCCGATTTGTCTTGAAAGACGTTTCAATACAGGGGGAGCCGGGGGCACCAGGGTGCACAAAGCCATGCCTATTAAGCAAGCCCTTGGTTTGACACAATTTGTTTCCTAAAGTTTTTTGGGCACGCCGCATTTCAAAAAAACCGGCCGTGGACACATCTACTTATGTCTCGGCCATTGGCCGAGACACTAATAAGCTATTAAGGTTGACGGTTCGATTTCTTCGAGATGTCAAGCAACACAGCAGAAAGAAGGAGGACTACTCGCGAAGGATGCCCAGGAGTTCAGAGAGTTCAAAACAGTTGAAACTCGACGCCTACAACTCGGCGCAAGTTCAAAAGTAAATGGCGCCGAGGACCTACGACAAAAAAGTCAAGAAGAAGAAAAGAGGAAGGTAGGCGAATGAATTAAACGAACGGTGCGGTCAACATAAGGCAAGAGGCATACGTTTTATTTTTTGGGAAAAAGACTATCCTTATAATTAGTTTAAAAGGAGTTTCTTTACAATAAAGATGAACGACCAGTCGTGGCCGATCGAAAAGTACAGAAACTATACAAAAAAATATATAAAGTAAAATGTATATGGTTAATTATTACATCCCAAAATATGTCCGAAACAAGTCACTCGCCACCCGTCGATGTCCCCGCTGAACATCCCCCAGATCAGGCAGGTGATCCTTCTCCAAGCAATGTCCCCGCCGTCGATGTCTGCCTGCCATCTCGCTCGGATCAGCTTTCGCTCGGCCAGGGCCTTCTTCGTCTCAGTCGCTGCCTTAAGGATTTGCTTGGCCGAGGACTTCAGTTCTTTCCCGGTCGCGACCGAGCCATCTCGGCGCTGGAGTATGAGAGCTCGACGAGCTTGGAGCTCGGCGATCTGAGCCTCGACCTGCGCAAGTTCTTCAGTTTCCCGTTGGACCGCGAGGTCATTCTCTTTCAATTGGGCCATTGCAGGGTGAACTTGTTCTTTGATCACCTCCAGATCCTGCTCAAGCGAGCTCCCTTCGGCCATCCTCGTGACGGCTTCAGCATACCGGCCGATCATTTCCTCGCCTTCAGCTAGGCGGGCTTGCAGTTCATCCAGCTGAGCCGAGTTGAGCAGACCGAGTGCCATGGCCGTATCCAAGCAAGACCTGAACTCCATAATTGCTCCGGCAGCGGTCATTTGTTGAACCCCAAGGAGAAGGAACTCTCGGAGCCGTTCAATGACGGTCTTGGAATCCTCATCCAAAGGAGCCGAGGCTGAGCTACCTCCTTCCTCGTGGAGGCTGGCGTATAACTCCTTGAGATCATCTGAGGAGGTGGCTTCCTGGGCATGAGAGAGAGGTTGGGTAAGAAAAGACCGGCTAGGGTATAAGGAGATAACAAAAGAGATGACTGAATACTCACGGCAAGCTATTGCGTAGATTTAGCTCCACCAAAATGGATTAAGCTGCATCCTCAACTTGTGATACTCGCAAGTGCACGAACCGTTGG